AAAAATGCCTTTGCCTCAACAGCTGACAGTATGCTATCCAAAATAGACAAGCAGGACACAATAGGAAGGACTGTCAAATCTTGCCAAGAAAAGGTAGGAAGTACCTTCAGAAAATTCTGCTTCACAAATAAGTGTGTCATACATGCCAGGACTGTAGGCCAAAGATGGATGCCCGAACGTTGCAGAGAAATCTTGGGTGACTGTCCACACAGCCAGCTGTTTCTGTCACTTCTCAAATTTTTTGGAAGTTGCTTGTTTGTACTTCCTGCTTACTCAGTTAATATTATTTCCTTCTCAGGTCTCTGAGGTGGTTGAAGGTTAGTTATAGTTTTCCTTGTTAATAAACTCAGAACAGAAACTCAGGTATAAAGTGTGTAAGTTTGAAAGACATCGAAAGATAGTTTTCAGTTGGTAATACATGTTAGGATAGAAAGTGAATTAGGTACAACTGAGTTCCAAGACTGCTCCATTCAAAGGAAGAGTCTTCACCATGATGACGGAACAGCAGGATAACTACATGAAAATAAGGATTCTGGAAGAGTAAATTAGGCATAAGCCTCATTCCTTATGATTTGGACTCATAGATTTCAGAACAAGGTACCAAAAACCCAGATGAACCAGACTTCATCCATTAAAAATGCTAATGTGTTTTGGACATAATTAAGAATGTGAGAGAACTGGACACAGCCAGTCCCCAGGAACCCCCACTCAACTCTGCCCAAGTTGGTAGCCTGCAAGGAAAACTCCCATGATCAGGCTCCTCCACCAAAACTCCCCATTGGACCCTGAGATCTACAAGACCCACACCCTACCCCAAATACCCATCTGCCTCTGACCCCAGTAACTTCCTGAAACAAGGAATTTTCCAGATCCCATTTTTAGGGAAAGGGGGCTTACTAAAGAAACCCACCGTGACCCTGGAGCCCAGAATTAGGGAATGATGGATCAGATAAGGCCAATGACAGAAACACAGTTTAGCTCAGATCAGAGCCATCTCTGCCCCTGTCCAACTGACTTGTGAAACCAACCAATCACAGAGCAGGATAGTAGAACCCTTGGCCCCGGGGTTGAATCCATGCCGTAGACTTCCTGTGAAAACCGCCCTGCCTAGTCAGTTAAAAAGGAAGGCTGTTCTCTCCACCCTGGTAGAGACAGCTAGTCTCCTGGACTCCTCCTCCCCAAATAAACCTTTTCCTCAAAAGTTTTTTGGGTGTGAATATCTTAATTCACTGGTGTAGAGATCCTTGCTGAGACGGCCCCAGTGGAAAGAACAAGAGAAAGAGAGCTGAAATAGCAGGCCAAGGAGGAGCTGAACAGATCTTTGCTAAGATGTCCCTCAGTGGACAGAATTATAACTAACACTTTTCGCCAGAGCTGGAGATTGCTACATTTCTTCAGGGGTTTCCTGTTTTGCAGAGTGAAGCATAAGAAGCAACATTTTAGGCCAGAGAAGCAGAGGTCTGCTAGGAAGTCCATTTAAGTGGGGGCTGAGCAAAGCTCAGCTGTAGAGGCTCTCCAGGATAGGAGCAGGATTGCTATATCCTGTGGGTAGACCATCCCCCATAACACCAGGTATACCTTGACTTTCTGGAAGAATCAGGGTATCCTTCCCTGCTGAAGCAGTTTCAGGCTTGACTCTCCTGAGAAGTCAGAAAAATCGCCCTCCAGGGCTGTCTCCTTGCAGTTTCAGCCTTTACAGCTCTGCTACACAGATCCAGGTGTCCAGGACACTTTCAGGGCAGAGCTCTTGTTCTTAGCAGCTTGAGGTGTCTGGGATACCTTGTCCTCCAGGGTTGAACTATCTTCAGTTCAGCCATTAGAGCTGTGCTACAAGCTCTAGGTGTCTGGGACACCTTCAGGGTAGATCTATTGTTCTGAGCAGCTTGAGGTGTTTGGGATACCTTGCTCTCCAGAGCTGAACTGTCTCCTTGCAGTTTCAGCCATCAATTTGCTAACATTTTGGTGCCGAAACCTGGACACCAAACCCACAGAATTGCAAAACGTGCAATTTACTAACACCATTGGACTAAGAGTAACTTCCTGAGACAAGGAATCCACCAGTTCTCATTGGACCATGAGTAGCTTCCTGAGACACAGAATCTGCCAGCTCTCAATGGACCAAGAGAGGCTTGCTGAGACACAGAATCCACCAGCTCTGACTGAATTAAGAGCCCTGATAAGACTAAGAATATTTTCCTGAGTCACAGAATCAACTAGCATGGATTGCACCCAGAGCAGCTCCCTGAGACACAGAATCTGCCAGCTCCAATTAAACCAAGAGCTCAGATTGGACCCAAAGGGACCCCCTGAGACACAGACACAACAAGCACAGAGTAGACCAACAGCAGCTCGTTCAGACACAGGGACCTCTTGCAATGATTAGAGGAAGACATAGGCACACATCAGTGCAAAAATACATACAACAACATAAAGAGCAATATGGCATCACCAGAACCTAGCCCTCCTCCAACAGTAAGACCTGAACATCACAATGTAGAAGAAACAGAAGAAAGTGACCTTAAAAATAGCTTCATGAGAATGCTAGAGGCCTTTAAAGAAAAAAATGAAAAATTCCTTTAAAGAAATTGAGAAACAGACAAACAAAAAAATTGGAAGAAATCAATAAACAAATTGAGGAAAAGACAAACAAAAAATTGGAAGAAATCAATAAATCCCTTAAAGAAAGCCTAGAAAACCATGAAAAAGCAATTAAACATGTGAAGGAAACAGTTCAACATCTGAAAATTGAAATAGAAACAATGAAAAAGACACAAACAAAGGAAATGCTGGAAATAGAACATCTAAATAACTGAATAGGAGACACAGATGCAAGCATAACAAATAGAATGCAAGAGATGGAAGACAGAATCTCTAGTGTAGAGTATACAATAGAGCAAATAGATTCATCAGTCAAAGAAAACACCAAACCAAAAAAGTCATAACACAAAAGGTTCAGGAAATCTGGGACACCACCAAAGCTAAGAATAATAAGGATAGAAGAAGGAGAAGAATGCCAACTCAAAGGTACAGAAAATATATTCAACAAAATCATGGAAGAAAACTTTCCCAACTTAAAGAAGAAAATAACTATAAAAATACAAAAAGCTTATAGAACACCAAATAGACTAGACCCCCATGCCAAAAGTCCCCTCACCACATAATAATCAAACCATTAAACATACAGAATAAAGAAAGAATATTAAAAGCAGCAAAGGAAAAAGGCCAAGTGACTTATAAAGGCAAACCTATTAGAATAGCAGCTGACTTCACACTGGAGACTTTGAAAACCAGAAGGTCCTGGACAGATGTAGTGGTAAGAGACCATGGATGCCAGCCTAGACTAATATAACCAGCAAAACTTTCAATCACCATAGACAGAGTGAACAAGACATTCCAAGATAAAAACCAGATTTAAACAATACCTATCCACAAATCCAACCCTACAGAAAGTACTAGAAGGGAAATTCCAAACTAAGGAAGTCAGATACACCCATGAAAACATAGGCAATAGATAACCTCACAATAGTAAATCCCAAAGAAGAGAAATTCACACAGTACCACCAAAGATAATAGGAACTAAGAATCACTGGTCATTAATATCCCCTAATATCAATGGACTTAATTCACCTATTAAACGACACAGGCTAACAGAATGGATACAAAAGCAGGACCCATCTTTCTGCTGCATACAAGAATCACACTTCAACTTCAAAGACAGACACTACCTCAGAGTGAAAGCCTGGGAAAAGTCTTTCCAGTCAAATGGTCTTAAAAAGCAAGCTGAGGTAGCTATCCTAATATCTAACAAAACAGACTTCAAACTAAAGTCAATCAAGAGAGACTGAGAAGGACATTACATACTCATCACAGGAAAGATCCACCAAGATGAAGTTTCAGTTCTGAGCATTTATGCCCCAAATATAAGGGCACCCACATTTGTAAAAGAAACATTACTAAAGCTTATATCACACATCAAACCCCACACATTAATAGTGGGAGACTTCAACAACCCTCTCTCATCACTGAACAGATCTGTCAGATAGAAACTTAGAAATAAGGGACATAATTGATGTTATGACTCAAATGGACTTAATTGATATCCACAGAACATTCTACCTAACAAAAAAGAATATACCTTCTTCTCAGCACCCCATGGAACTTTCTCTAAAATCAACCACATGCTTGGTTATTGGTAAAATTATTAAGGCCACTCCACATAGTTAAATGGGAGGTTTATTTTGTGGTGTAACTTACAAGTGAATGGATTGTTTACAGAGTCTGGGAAAGGTGTAGTGCAGTCCAGCAGTGTTCTCTGGAAAACTCTGCTCGTTCTACCTCCTGCGTCCAGGGTCCAAGAACTAAGAGAGACAGCACATCTGGATCTCATGTCTTCAGGGTCCTCCCTTGGCCCCGCCTTGTAGGTGTGACAGTTACCAAAACCTCAATGGTGGTTGGAACTATCAGATCAAAGCTGGAATGGCTACCCACTACATCTCCCCCTTTTGTCTAAATAAGAAGGTTTTAACCTAATGCAAGACTATGTACAAAGGAATGGTTATCAAATATTGTCCAGGAATAATAAGGGATAATGACCTAGATAAGATGGAACTACAACCAATGTGAACAATATCAAGCAAGAAACACATACTAAAATCCAGAGAAGTCTAGAGAATAGGTAAATGGCATGTTACAAAGATCATTCCAAAAGGTGTCCTATCCTAAAGAACCATAATCTAATACTTAATATGTTCTATCTAAGATTATATATA